TCTCTCTCTCTCTCTCTCTCTCTCTCTCTCTCTCTCTCTCTCTCTCTCTCTCTCTCTCTCTCTCTCTCTCTCTCTCTCTCTCTCTCTCTCTCTCTCTCTCTCTCCTCCCTCCTTCTCTCCCTTCCTCCCTCCCCTTCCTTTCTCTCCCCTCGACATAGTATACTATATGGTCAATATATGTAGAATAATAAATTTTTATTAGTTTGTATTATATTAACTTCTCTTTCGCAAATTATACTTTGTCTTAAACATTTTTTTTACGAATAAATATGTCTTTTTGTATTATTCACTTATCTACCACATTAAACCATACAAATAATTAATACTAAAGCATTTAAATTCTTTCCTACGGTCACAATTATGTTTGAAACGTTATGTTCTATATTGACATTATAAATAGAATAGTATGAAGTTACAGTGTTTGTTATACATATGCCTACGAGCTGCAAAGGAGTGAAATATCCAGTTTATGGGTTATAATTTAGGGTTTAGGGGTTTAAGGTGTAGGGGTTAGGGTTTAGGGTTTAGGGGTTTAAGGTGTAGGGGTTAGGGTTTATGGTTTATGGTTTAGGGGTTAGAGTTTAGGGTTTAACTTCCATTTGTGATCCCTTCTTTTGCAACACATATGAAATTAGAATCATATGGACCTTAGCGGACATCGAATTTATTTCTCTGCTAATCATACTATATTATATATACACTAATATAGTTTCTTAGAATTGGTGTTTTGAACGTTTCATTTTATATCCTAAACCATAAATCTAAACTTTGACGTTGACATTAGGGTTTAGATATAGGTTAGTTAACAATTTTGTATCTTAGTTCTCATCCTTCCGAGACATCTCCGGTTAAAGTACAACAATATACAACAACTAAGTTTTATGGTGGTACCAGCTGTGGAGAACGTGTGAGACTCATTGTTGGTTGTCTATATAGTTGAGGTGTGTAAACTCGAAGCGTTATACTATCTACAAAGTTGTATAGTTTAGTATGTTCTGCATCAAAAATGGCACTTATGATTGTATACACCGCCTTTTTCATTATTTTCCCCTTTTGTATAGTCTGTTTCAACCAACAACATTTTATTGCAAAAATTACTTGTGTGTCTTAACAAGTTCTTTACACTATATGTGTGAGTATACCAACTAACCATATATTAATATGCCACATTTTTTCTGTACTATAAAGGTTATAGTATCCAACTTCTGTTTTATTCCCCCATAAACTGTCTTCTAATCTCCTGTTGCTCCTTCCATATAATCATTATTTGGTATCTCTTTTCCTGTATCAAATGAACTCATTTGTAGTATAGTTTTTGGTTTTCACTTTATCTTTCTGCTACAGTGTGTGATATATGTGCATACAGGTCTGAATAGTGTTAGATGTGTGTTATAATATTTTTGTTCACTCGCCTCAAACTGACGCACATGCGCGTGAAAGGACAAAATAGTCTAAAGTTGGTAAAAATTGTCAAATAAAATTGCAATGTGTATATATTTCATTTTTGTGTTTACTATGAGTATTTTGAAAATTTTCCCTATTTAAAAACTGTATTTAGTTTTTTATAAACGGAATTGGCAATGAGCTAAAAGATCTTTGTAATGGTGCAATGGAATTGAACAGTATCTGATAACTGTATGTAGTTTTCACTTTATCTTCCTGCTACAGTATGTGATATATGTGCATACAGGTCTGAATAGTGTTAAATGTGTGTTACAATATTTTTGTTCACTTGCCTCAAACTGACGCACATGCGCATGAAATGACAAAAGAGTCTAAAGTCGGTACAAATTGTCAAATCAAATTGCAATGTGTATACATTTCATTTTTGTGTTTACTATGAGTATTTTATAAATTTCCTCTATTTAAAAACTGTATTTAGTTTTTTTATAAACGGATTGGCAATGAGCTAAAAGATCTTTGTAATGGTGCAATGGAATTGAATACAATTGTTGTTACCTTTGCCTAAGGCTCGATTTTAGCCTTTAGGTTTGCATTTTACAGTTATATTAGAGCAGTAAGCACCCCCAGTCTCCATTAAGGAGTTCCAAATCTAAGTATCTTAATATACATATATATATATAATTACATATATATATATATACTAGGATCGGACTGTGTTTCGCACGGCGAGTGGATTCATTAAGTATTTTACATGAATTCTTTTCAGTTTCAAAAATGTAATTATATATTTTGTAAGGTATTTATTATGTGAAATCACTTTATATATAATTTCAGTAAATTAAACTTCAAAACCATTACAATTAAGTAAATTGTGTGATAGATGATTTATCTTCTGTTTTTTTTTATAAAATATGTATCATTTCTTCTCTCGTTATAAATCAGTTTACAAGAATAATTCTTAAACAAAATAAAACATATTTCATTTAGATAAAAAAGAATCAACTGAAATATTTATTTAAAACACAAAATACTACACTATTTTACTTTACTATCTACTTATGTTTAAAACAATTTTGATGTGAAATTTATTTAAAAATGCTTATAAATTAATCGACATTTGTTTTATTCCATGATATATAATTAACCATAAGATTAATTATATATCATGGGAAAAAACACTGCTTAATTATATTATTTTAGAAAAGAAATTACACTACTGTTACTTATTGTCATTATTGTTAGATAACTATGCAATTTCTGAAAATAATAACCTCAAAAAAATCCCTTTGGATTAAAAATAACTAGTATCAAAATTGATACTAAGATAGTTATTAATTTTAACTGAAATTTTAACATTTTCTTGGCGTCTTCTTTGATCTTATTATGTTTGGTATTCTTAATATTCCTTTTTATCTCACTAAATTATTATTTTTGGGTTTCATCAAAGGTACATTGGTCACTTCTTCTCGTAAAGATTATTTTTGTGTGTTTAAATTAGACTAGTTAGTTTAATTTTTTGAGCAATTTTTAGATATTCTTAATCAGTATAGTTTGTTAAATCTATTGACACAGTTTTAAAATTCTCTAATATTATATATTTTTAGTGATTTTAATAACGATTTTTTAAATGTGACTATCTAACATATATTTTAATAAAATTTGAGAACTTTAAGATATTTTAACTTATCATTTTAGAAAATAAAACTTTTATTCAAAGATACGTAAATATATACTAATTGTGTACAACTTCAACTTGTAGATCTTTATTTCTCTTTATAAAAAAAAATTAATATATTTTTCTTTTTTGACAAATTAAGTATATTTATGTAAGTACAGTAGTCTTTTCATGTTTAACGTTTTTTTTTCCAAATTATGATTTTCTCTGAAACAGAGAATAATTATTATCTAATCATCTTTATCATATTTGATTAATTTTGATGAAAATAATTGTTAAATTCCCAATTGCTTATATCTTAATTAATATTCTATTTTTTATTCTTAACTTTCAATTATTTAAGTTATTTGGATACGAGCACCAGCTCTTTGCTCGACTTTCTCAAGTGGTGGGTGACGTAGATGACCTAAGAAGGAGAAAAACACCTTTTTAATATAAATATAAATAAATATATATATATATATATATATGTATGTATATATATGTATATACTAGTATTTAGTTATGAATATTTCCACTTTTACATGAAACATAATTCAAGATTTTATTTTTCACAAAATTGAAATACCCACAATTAATTATTAATATTTATATATAGATATATTTATATGTATTTTTTGGATACTTAGATTGAGAATCCTCCAATAGAGGTGTTCTTAGTATTTATATATTTTTCTAAATAAAGTCACAGCCTCAAATGTTGAAAAAACATAAACAACTCACAAATTAAACATTTTAGCAACTTTTGGCTAATTGTAAACGTAAGCTTCAACATAAATTTTGTGCAAACAATACTTTGAACATCATTTTGTTCCTTATGTATATGCAAAACTGTGTATGTAACAGATGTTTTAGATATGTGATTGTGGTAAGACGAATCTTGGACATATTTAGGAGTTTTATCTATTAATTTACTGTTTAAAAGTTAAACTCTAGTTATCGTTGACCAAAAAAACTACAATTGATTTCTCAAGAGTTTTCAAAATTTTGTTTGGTGCAAAACCAGAATTCTAAACCCATTAGACTAGAGTATGAGATCTGTGGAACTCTGTTCGGTTAATTGGATCTTAAGTTCTTAACCTACCAAGTTACTAGGCTCCTTGGTTCGGCCCATACTTGATTTTTCACGAGATACCAGACAAGTCTTCGTATAAAATGGTCTTGGACTCTTGATGTTAAAAAAAAAAAGTCAATGGTCTTTGCTTATCTTTATGGTAGGGCTGCGCGGGGGACAGTCGTATTTCGGATCGAGTTCATTCGGGTTTCAGGTTTTCGTGTTGATAAATTTCAGCCTCATTCAGATATTGAAAGAATTCTTGTCAGATTTGGTTCGAATTTAGTCAGATTCAATTCGGATTTAGTAACATATCCAAGATTGGGTTGGACCCATAATAATTTCAGTTTCAGATATTAATCAGGTTATCAGTTTCTAAAATACTATTTTATTCAATATATTTTTTCAATCATTTTATTAAATTTGTGTATTTTGATTATTCAAACCATACTGTTGTCCTTCAAATAATATTGTGAAACTCGTCTATAATTTGTCATTGAAATATACATAATAACACAGTCTTGTATGAATCAAATCATATATAATAAACATAAAAATTAAAATTAACAACTAACAATTCTATAAATTTAAGAAATACTATTTAAACTCTGAAAGAAACAACATTGTTTAAACTTCAAAACAACTTTATTCGTAACTAACTTCAAATGTAATATCATACATAAACATTAATATCAACCAAAAATAAAACTATATATTACACTAATTATTTGAGTTAATGATTTATGTAATAACTAATTATTGTAGGTACACAATAATATCTTTGTGTGTTTTGGAAAAAATATTAGAAATTGAGATTGGGTATGTTACAAGTTTTTTTGAAATTTAAAGTTTCAGTTTTTTTCGGATATCCATTTAAGTTCGAGTTCGGTTTTACCCGAAATATCGTAAAACAAGTCCATTCGGTATTTATGTCGGGTTCGGATCGGTTCAGATTCTTTTTTATTAGGTCGTGTTCAGTTTGGATTTTCGGATTCGGTGTTTTTTGCCAAGTCCTACTTTATGGGGAAATTTGTGAAATAACCAAAAAAAAGATAAAAAAAAAAATTAGATTTATAGAGTGAGAGTAGAGAGAGATAGAAAAGATTGGAAGAGAGATAAGAGAATTTTGGTTACTTGGCTAATTTGGGTTTTTTGTGTAGTCATAGGGTGCAATTTCCCAATCTTTATCATAACTGGCTAAACCTGAAGCCAGTACCTGTAGATCCAAGCTTAAAGGCGGGCAAGATGAAATTTGATCTTGACTAACGATTAAGATTCTACTTACTGACTTGAGATCCAAAACAATAATCTGAAACAAAACTTTTTATAATGGCGGAGTGTTACAGCAAGTTTCAGTGCATTGTAGACTACGTTAACTTAATTGTTTGATAACAGTAGTCATACAAGAACTTCCAAGTTTATTCATAAACTTGGAAAAGAGCACCTCAAATAAAAAAAATCATCAGCAAGACAGAGTGTATCCATGTATGAAACATATACTAATCAGTTGTTGTCTGAGGAAGCTGAGGAGCTTCACTTTGTCTCAAGCTTTCAAGAGTAGAGATCCTTGTATCCAGAGAGTCATGAAAAGCCTTTGCCTGTGAGAAACAGAGATCATATTATCTACTGTCAATAGCCATGTCGGTATTCTAATATAGGTAAAACTACATGGAAAAAATGGTGATATGGAATGGATATTAACGTTATTAACAGTGTTTTCTCAACTCAACCAAGGCTCACATTAGCTACTATAGGTTTAAGGAGTTTTGTCTTGTTAACACTTTGGCATCTCAGGATTATAACTTAAAGCATGTTCTAACAACATCAAAGCTACAGAGAAAATGTTGATATTTACAAGAATGACCATTGCGCTTCAACACTACAAGAAACCCCTAATTCATATATATATCAAAAATGAGTGATTTACTTCCTCTAAAAGTTTGCATATAGAGACAGATAATTTAGAGAATAAAGAACTCTAGAATGATATCCAAGAACGTGAATCAATTTGCAGAAACGGAAATGGAATTCGATTGGAAAAACCTGGAGAGAAATGGATTCGTGAGGGGTTTTGTAATCCTTATAGAGAACAGAGAGGCCGATACAAGAAGCAGTCGCAGCTCCGGCGAAGAAAGATGCCATTCTTACCCTCAACACGTACCCCATCCTTCCTCCTCCTTTCTCAGGTCACACTCCGGTTCTCTACAATTTTAATTTCAGAGACCAGCCCCGAACCAAACGACATCGTTTCTATGACCAGGTAATGATCTCTCTCGGCTACTACAAAACGTCGTCGTTTTCCGTAATAACCAAAACTCTATAGATTAGTCCTCCAAATCTCCAATAATATAAGATTAAACTACATTTGGTTTCGATCAAAACAAAAAAAAAACTACATTTGGTTAGCTCTAAAACCTCTAGAAGGTGTCGCAGAGACGATCAATCAAACAATTCATCACGAAACTTACTAGTGTGTACTAGTCAATATATATCATGTACGGTTTAGAAGATTACTGGTTCTTGAATGAGGTCACTTTCGAGACACTTGTTGTCTCATGCTGCCCAGCCCTGTCTTGGCAGATCAATGAATATTGACGTACGTCGAAATGCTACAAAGTTTTATCGGGTCATTATACTCTCGGTCACTTTAGTAATATTTTCTCCTTTCAAGTTTATTTTGTTGTCTCAGGAGTGCTATAGTGTAAGAGTCTGGAGTCCAATGCCAGTGTCTTTGACTGGTTAAAGCCTACGCTTCATGATTATCAACTTCCATGACCGTCTTTTACCATGTCAACCGGAATATTTACAAACCAAAAACATTTTTTTGATTTTTTTAATAGAAATACATACAGAAAAAAACTGATTTGATTTTAGTTTATCCGTATATTGAAGTACTAATCTAAAATTCTGAAATTATACAGAATAAAGTCTAAAATAAAACCGGGTTTAGTGGGTTCGATGTCGTTATTATCCTATTTCCATCCACAGTTCAAGTCTCGTATAAATACGTATCAATTACTTTGATTATATAGCTCTAATAGCACAAAGGCAATCCATCGCACATCGTTACGGTTGACGACCAAGTCGATTCGTTGCTGGTAGTCAGATTCCATCCCTCCATGCACAATCACGGTTGGTTCTTCATCTTCTTTGCTGTCTTTTTTTTTACCGTTGGTTTTGTTTTTAATAACCACATCGAAAACCCTAGTGTGACTAGTAATTTACATATGGTTTTAGTCTTGCTCTTTCTTTATTATATCTTCACCCGAATCTTTGATGTACATTATGAGTTTCATGTGGGCTGATGGACCGTTAAAAACACTTCTCTTCGCTTGTTATAGAGAATTTGTAATACGTTAGATATGTGGTTGAACTACTAGTTGTTGTCTTTCTGAAACTTGTATTGTCAATATTTTGTTATGCAGAATATTTTGGTATAGATCAAAAAGATATGGTTTTTAAAGAGAAAGCGAATCAGGCTCGTTCCACGTTGAAGAAATATGATCTGATAAGCCAATTACCTAATGATTTGACATTTCAGATACTTTCTCTTCTTTCCACAAAGGAAGCTGTTAAGACTAGTGTTTTGTCCACTAGATGGAGGCATATCTGGCTTTCGCTTCCTTGTTTGGAGTTGAAATCTCGAGAATTTTCAGATCTCAAAACCTTTATGAGTTTCGGTGACAGATTCTTCGATTCCAGTAGGGTTTCATCCATAAAACAAGTCAAGTTAACTATTGATAAAAAAGACGTCCACGACGGTTATTGTCTCACGTCATGGTTTGATGCTGCAGCTAAGCGTAAGATCCAAAATCTACATGTTAGTTCTTATTCTTACGCAGACCGTAAGTTTAACAAGATGCCACAAAGACTTTACAACTGTGAGACACTGGTATGCTTAAAGCTCTTTCAAGTGACCTTGTCTGATGCTGAGATTGTTTCCTTACCTTGTCTGGAGACAATGTACTTAGAATATGTCGAGTTTCCCAATGAGGCAACTTTTGAGACGCTTGTCTTATGCTCCCCCGTGCTGGAATGTTTAAAGATTATCGTGGCTAGTGATGATAAAAAAGTCTTTCGGTTGCACTCTCGGTCATTGGAGAGGCTCAGTTTCGAACGAGTTTCTTCTTTAATATGTGATTCAGCAGGAGTTGTTATTGATTGTCCTCGACTGTACGTTTTAAACATCAAGGATAACGTATCAAAAAGCGTCATGATACGCAATTTGGGGTGCAACGCCATCTTACAAATGTCTCTCGTCGGTATGGTCCGTCTTTTAGAAATTGATGATGATTTTTGCGACGAGATTTATGAAGAAGGCGTTTTATTGGGGAGAAGTAACATCCACACGTTTCTCCATGGGATCTCGATGGCCAGGAGTATTATAATGAGTAGAGGCACCTTCAAGGTACACATATGTTATATGTTGGTATAGGACATGTATATTTTCTATCATGAAAACTTGTCACCCTAGGGCGGTCCTAGTCACAGACAAGTGAAACATTGGTCAATAACCCAAATTTTTCGAAAATTTGAAATTGAAATACTTTACTAAATTTTTTTAACAACTTTTTTTTTTGAAAACTTTACTAAATCGCCTACTGGCCCCAAAATTTCAGGACAGGGCTATGTCTGATCCATGTTCTTTTCTTTTTTTTTTGGTTCCAGATCATGTGTCAATACTCGAAACTCGAACCGCTGCCTCAGTTTGGTAACATGTGCTACCTGGATGTCACTCTTTGTCTACACGATTTTCAATGGTTACCAGCCTTTCTTGAGAGCTTCCCAAACTTGAAGCAGCTCGTCTTGGTGATGGTTCCTATGTGATTTTTTTCGAATAAAATCTCTATGAAATTTGTGCGTATATTTTCATTGCGTATTAATCCTCTCTTTTTTTTTCTCCTTAGGTATGCGATGACAGAGAGGGTTTTCCTGATGAGGACATTGATCAAGTGAGTTTCTCATCTGTTCCTGAGTGTTTGCTATCGTCTCTCGAGTTTGTTGATTTTCAAGCCACAGTCCAGTATGATGTTGAAATTAAGCTGGTGAAGTACTTGGTCAAGACTTCAGCTGTCCTCAAGAAACTCAGTTTACGTTTGGCTTCTTATTCAAGAAGAGATAAAATGCTGAAGAAACTCCTCAAGACCCCAAGAGCCTCTACCAAATGTAAAGTCGTCATCCTCTGATTTGTAGAGAGTATAAGTGAGGTTGTGTTTAATACGTTAAAGGGTTGGCTAGGCTTTTTATATGTAAAGACATGGATGTGTGCGTATGAGTTTTTGTGGCAACGTTTTTTGCTCGTCCAGGTTTCCGAATTCTACATGATTCCAATCATAGGGTTGGGCTTAATATATCAAATTTCAATTCTACCACTTGGTACCGAACTTGTGGTAGAATTGAAATTTCCCCAATTTTTAAAGTTGGACATGATAAGTTAGATTTCTCATGAAAATCTAAAAGAAAAAGAATTGGCAAACAATTCATGGAACTTACGGGAAAAAAAAAGTCCACTTCACAAGTATACAATTTATAATCTCGGTATTTCATCCAAATAAAAATAAACATCAATTCGTTTTTGAACAAACCAATTTAGCCTAGTCAACCGTAATGTCATCAATAAAAGTCAACAGAATCTGCCCAAGCATGTGATCAAATTAATTAAATCAAACAACAGCAGCTAACCACAACCGAATTGGATGGTAAGAGGCCCAAAAGGCCCAAGAAGTCGAGTACAAATTTGTTTGTGAGCGTGGAGACGACATTGTTTTTGTGGGTTACTTGTAGTGTAGTGGAAGAGAGGCCGCTGGTGATTTAAATTTCTACTCCATTAATGAGAATGCTGCTGATCTGCTATGATGCAGGTCGAATTATCTAGTAGCTCATTTTTCTTTGTATGTCTTCAATGTTGACTGGATGATGAATTGAATGTTTTTGACTTTTTTATAGGAGCAACTTCGTGAGAAGGAGAGCTCTGTTGGGGAGATGGAGAGGAAGTTGGAACAGAAAGACAGAGAGCTGCTTGCTGCTAAACTGGATAACGAAGCTGTATATTGTTCCTCATATATTATGAGTTCTATCTGAATGGTTTGATACTAAAGCTTTCCTTGTAAACTCCCACCAGGCCTGGGCCAAAGAGGGTCTCCTCAGAGAACAAAACAAAGAACTTGCTTCTCTCAGGTGCTTTTATAATTCTTGAGACTTTTTTCTCTTCGTTGAAACAAATAAGTGAGATTGACAAAAACCTAGGAATAATGTGAAGGCATCATATACCGCTTCATTAACCAGTTTAATTGCATGGCTCTATGTCTTTCTCTCGAATTAATCTCTAATTCTCAAGCAATTGCTCCTACAAGTTTCAATAAAATTCCTTTTAATGGAAAATATAAAAGAAAGACATGTATGACGAGAGTGAACGGTGTAACTTAAAATGCATTCCAGCAGCATTAGCAATATGTGAATTGACATTCAAAGTTGATATGGACTTGTCTTGCAATCATCTGGTCTCCAAGCTCATTTTCCAACTGCTGCATGAGGCTGATGGGTGGTATATCGCTCTTGTAATGAGCTGGTGGCTAGTTCAAGGAACGATTACGAGGTGATTGGATTTCGAATTTTTGTGCATATGAATTGAATAATAAGTGTTTTTTCAACTTTTATATATGATTTGACGGTGGGGAGGAGAGTGTTGCTTGCGTTTCAGACGCTAGGGGTTGTATTTGGAGATGAAGGGGCTAGTCCTTTGTATACGTTCAGAGTGATGTTCAGTAAATCACATGTTTAAAAAGAAGGAAGATGTTACTGAAGCATTGTCACTAGTGATATACACTTTGCTTTTGATACCACTTATTAAGTATGTTCTTGTTGTTCTATGGGCTAATGATGATGGTGAAGGTATGCCTTTTAACTATTTTGGTCTCTTAATATTGTTGTTTACGGGTTACTTATGAGTGATAATGTTTTAGGTGGGACGTTTGCATTGTATTCTTTGATCTCTCGTCATGCTAAGATTAGTCTTATTCCTAATCAACTTCGCTCAGATACACGGATTTCGAGTTTTAGACTAAAGGTGCTCGTGCTCTCCCGATGAACAACGGGTCAAGATGAGTCCTGATCCAGAGAGCACGTTGCGAGATCTCTGCGTCGAAAGCAGCAAGCATCTCGGCTCTGGAACAGCTCAAGACCTCTGCTATTGGCAGTACGAGTCTCTGCCTTTTTTTTTTTTAATCTGATTCACATTTTCTGTAACAATGTCGTTGGTGTTTGAATATCTTAGTTTGTTGGTGAATCTGCTGTCTATTTGCTTGACATTCTGTTTATGTAAATCAATTCAATGTTTTTTTTTTCTTCTGTCTTTTCAGTTTGTGTTTGGTTAAGAAGAGATGGAAGTGAAAGCGAGAGCTCCGGGAAAGATCATACTTGCAGGAGAACACGCTGTTGTCCATGGATCCACGGCAGTAGCAGCTGTCATTGATCTCTACACAGAATGCTTGAGACTCATTGAAGAGTTCAAGCAGGTACGTATACATTCTAGAAAAAAAAAAACTAGTTGCAGCTTCAATGGTAAATCACTAACTTATAATATGTATGTGGTTTTATTTAGTGTGTTTCTAGAATATATGAAGAACTTATTCTAGCATCAAACTGTGACTCAACATCTCCTGATTGCTATATGAGCTTCTTTGTATCTTTTTATCAATGGCTAGCCACTTAACAAACCACTAGAAAACAAGGTTTGTTTAGTTACACATCTCCCTCTTTTAATCTTTTATGTTACTTGGAATCTAAAGATAATGTTACTTGGAATCTAAAGATTGATAATGTGTAGTGAATTCTGTAAGAAATGTTTTACAAATTTTATAATTTTTAATTTCTAAGATTCAATTGAAAAAAAAAAATTCTAAAAATTTCATAACGGATAACACCATCAGACATACATTCATGATAAGAGTCCTTAACTATTAAAAAAACAATATTTTAGTGTTAAGGACTCCAATGGTAGATAACACTATTGGAGTTGTTGCTCTAAGCCGTTTTAGAACTTTGGTTTTGTATCCAAATAATTGTCGGTTTCCAAAATTCAATGCAACATATAGTATAACTTATTTAAATTAATAACCTATAAATTAATATACATCAAAAGTTTTTATTAAAAAAATATAACTTTATAGTTTTAAATAAAATTTTTGGTTCAATTGATATATCGGTTAATTAATAATTTCTATAAATTAATAAAAGAAAGTTATAGTTTTCGTGTAATCCAACGATATTAATTTATAAAAAATTTACAGTATGATGATTTTTCACTTTATCTACCTTCATATTAAAAGCGAATAATTTCAATTTGCACAAAGTAACGATGAAGAAAGATAAAATGAAGATTATATTGCCTTAAATTGTGTGAAATCCACTAAAACGACTTATAAAAAACATAGGGAGTAATATACAATCACACACATATGTATATCTGGTTCCCAAGATATTCCATATATTTCTTAAAAAATATCATTATAACATTTTTTCTTGTTTTAAATAGTGTCATTCCACATATTCAATATAATTTTTCATACATATTATTTTTTTACCCTTTAATCTAACCAATATATATTTATCTAAATTATTTTTATTTAAATAATTATGAACTCATACTAATATATTTTAGAATTTTCTTAATCCGCTTGAAATATGTCAAATTTACAATTTTTGTGATTAGCGTATGCTATTTATTTTGTTTTGATTCTTCGTCAGTCATTATTTTTGGTCAATAAATGCAAAATCACTTTGGATGCGCAATTATGTTAGTATCACAATGATTAGCCGTGGTAAGCGCACTCATTAGTGGACTAAATCAAATGTAAATATAATTTCTGAGGATCTTAATCAAAGTTACCATACAATGCTTTTTCTTCTAATTCCTAAGATTTTGTTGAATATTTCACTTTCGAAATAATAAAAAAGTAGAATATATTCTGGACACTTGGCGTGGTGGATGTAATCCTAACGAACAAAGCAATTTCTCTAAGAAAAAGAGCAACAAAAGCAACATGGTCCACGGCCAAACGCGTTAGAATCAATTACATAATTAAAAAAACATTCACGTTATTTTTCCTAATAATAAATTCAAATAATACGTTATTCCAAGCAGGCATTCACACATTGAAATTCCTTATTCCTCACGATTACATCCGTAAAAGATGAGAGAAGCATTCACATTCAATTGCACTCTGTATTTTTCATCATCATCACTAAGCAAACTAAAACAATCTCAAACGAGAAGTCAAACCAAACCAAACCAATCAATTACATGTCAAACCAAACAAACCAATACCAAACACAGATCTTCAGAAACATCGCAGATGGTTGTTGTTGTGGTGGTGGTTATGGTTGTTGTGTCCGTGACTGTGATGGCGATGGCGATGAGTCTCCTCGTTGATAATCTCCTGAACATGCTTAAACTCATCCACACGGCAAGGAATCGTAATCGGACCAGCATGTTTGAATCCGTACTCATCTTCAGCTTCTTTCAAGAGCCTCAAGAACAGAGGATGGCTCAAGAACATCAACGGAACCACGAATCGTTGTAGACCTCCTTCATCTCCTACGTGTCCCACCATGATCGCAACACAGCCTTTGGGAACATGATGATGGTGATGATGGGGTATGTGGAAATGAGGAAAGTGAAACTTGAACACCATCTGTTTATGTACGTGTTCCTCAAAACCCATCAAAAGTATCGAATCTTTCTTACCGAAACACCTATGGAGAAACACGACGATTGATTGAAAACGTTTAACGACGGAGAAGAGCAGCTGGTGTTAAAAGACGGCGATAGAGAAGGGCCAAGGATCGACTGCAGAAGATATGGTTAGAAGAAATATAGAGAGAGATGAGTCGGTGAGAGATCTGGGGATGTTGCTCATGATAGGCTAAGCATATATGTATATGTTGATAAAATGTTTTGTGAGAAGGTTGCGATGATAATGGAGATGGAGATCTAATATATATACATATTATTACAAATTGGTTTAGGGTTTTGCTTCACGCGCACACCCCTAAGGCTTTTTCTCCTATTTTCTTTTTGTTTTTTTTTAATTGATCAATGAGCTGGAATTTGACGTGGTAAAAGTTGCAGCGTGGTTAGGAAGGGATTAGGGTTTACCGACTAAGCAGGCTCGTTAATTGTTTAAATGGTCAAAACGTAATATATCTTGGGGGGAAACATAATATTCATTTTTAGTGAGAAATAATATACTAGAATTGAATGGTGCTTTTTTATCAACTAGATTTAAACTGAATGATGTTATAAAAGAAACAGTTTAAAATTACATAAAACTAACAAAAAAAATTTACATAAAACTTATTTCTTTGCTGTTAAAGTTTCTTAATTTACTTTTTTATGAAAATAATAAGGTTCGGTTATTTGAGTTGTAGTGCGATTTGTAAGAAATATTAAAATTTGCACACAAAGTTAATTTGTTTTAATAAATAACATAATTAATTATTAAAGAAACATATATATATATATATATATAATCTTATTATATATATTTGTTGCTCCTTTCTACCCGTCTGTTTAAAGAAAAAATTAATCATCGGCGGATGCTTCATAATGTTACTTTATATGAAGATAATTGATAAAGCTAAAACTTGAAATATATCTCCAAATATATTGTAAATGTAATCTCATATCAAATGCAAATATTATATAGTTGACCATAAAATGTTTTCCCTAATATAGACAACAGTTGTCCAACCTCAAACTTAAATAAAATTGTTGTTATAGGCTTTGAAATAACGATATTTTTAACATTATATATTACCTTCTAAGCTAAGTTAAAATCGTAATAATTAATCAAATATTGGTCGCTACTCTAAATTGATCAGTTGGTCTTTTTGACACATCAAAAAGCCAACGACCCGGTAAATTCAATTGATAAAGTAGTATATATATACTTCAAAACGAAAATATTTCGGGATTTTCCCGAACGTTAAGAAAAAATTGAAATTGAGAGTAATGTGTATTTTACTAGTTCATTCCTCTTACCGTGATTGAAGGTAAATGGATAAGCAAGATTAAAAGTCAACCTATACAACCTAATCCGATATTAGTAGAGATAAACAACCTTTTCGTTTTAGATGACTACACCCTCTGACGACACAAAAGGATAACTACGAGTCTACGATCTATCTAAATTCGCTTCCGTCATTCCAAGAGGTGCATGGATGGGAAATTTAAATCCCTCGTCATCTTTTATCTATACGTAATTAATCATCTTAGTTCGTTTTTTTGTATAATATATTTGACTTTGTATAAATTTAAGAAGTCATATAGGCTTCAAGAAAGCACAAATCCCGTATATAAAATTTATACCTAACGTGTTAGTTATATATACGATCCGTTATTCCGTTCGAGAATATGCTTCTTATTCACATTCACCCAAAAACCCATTCAATAGTCAATAAATATGCCAATATTCTAGTTTTTTCATATTTTTTAATAAAAAACAATAAATTTACATAGTTTTTTATATTTGTCTTCTTTTAATAATTTTAAACCAATAAAAAAACAATTAGTGCAATTAAGTTTTTTAAAATTTACAATTAGTTAATAAAACATGTATTAAAAATCTAAAAAATGGATTTTTTAGAAACAATTTTTTTTAGAATATGTATCTTTAAAGAACGGAGAGAATATAACAATGTTTAAATAGCCACTAAAAATATATAGAGTATTATAAAACTCACATATAAAAAAACAATATAAACTCATATATAGGATTTACAAACAAAAGAGGTGGCTGCTCATATGATTGCATACTGTTTTGTATCAATTTTTAACAATATTTAATAGAATTTTTATGAATTAAATACAAAATTGAAATTATGCTAAGAAAAAAAATTGATTCCAAGTTTCCAAGGCATTGAAAAATCCAGGCTTGCTTTTAACCACAACCAAGAAACATGTGGCTTGGAGGTTCGAGAATGCGAACTAGGTGGAATGGCATTATTCAATGGAACATGCTCGTGATAGTTTCAAATTCCATCTTAATGGGAGATGTTTGAAGCTTAGTGGTTAAGGACACTGCCACATCAGCAGCATGGGCCCACTAGCTATACATATATGGCTGTCATTTACACGTCAGCATAACCCACGGGATGACGCGCAAATGATAAAAATGTCCTTTTGCCGAGTAAGCGCCTCCTCAGGTGCCTAAAACGACGGCGGACAATTGTCTGTCCAATTACTAATGACACGTGTTGCGCACTCGGTGTATTTGGGATCGGTTTGGTTTGCCTCTTATCCGGTTCATCTGATTTTTCATACTATTATAATTAGGTTTACAGAAATTCGAACAAGATTTTGTTCAAATTTATCACGGTTCGAGTTTCTTTTAACAAATTGCCGTGATTTTTTTTTTTTTAAATTTACTACCAAAATCTGACACCGTGTTACGTTTGTTTACGTCTGCTAGGTTTACTTTGGTCGTGTTACATAATAATGTTTGTATAAGAAGGTTCGAAAGTTTTGCGGACCAGCCATCATGTCGGCACGATATGACTGTGGACATAGGGATGACTAAGAGCCGTTGAATTACCAAGAAAGTTGGAATCATGTGCTCTTCTAGTCTGTTTTTCTTAATACAAAAGCGAACGACTTTTTTTCAAAGAGACCATATACGCCAGAGAGGACATAACTAAATGCATTTTAAAATACCAAGTACTGTTAGATTTAAGATTATATAATGACTAGTTCACTTATTGTATACAAATTGATGTTTGAAAAAAAAATGAATTAAATCGAAACACTCGCAATAAATCAAACTTGTATATTGGATAGTAACGAAAACGCACAAAAGATACATCAAACTGAAATTTATAAAAGTAAACCAATCATGCTAAGCAAAACTGAATAATAGATTAGCTACCCCTACCTTTATAATAAAAAGGAGGTTGTTTTTGGTTATCATAACAAATTCATATTAAGGTCGAATCATATTCGTACTGTAGTTAAAAGAGTATGACCACAGGTCCACACCAGCATCCGCGAGATCGATGGGCCACACATCCCACAAGATTGAAATTTGTCCTTCGAGTGTCTCAAAAGTGTTCAAACTCTCATTTAAATATATTCATAGAGTTACTTGGCTTAATAATCTACGTCAGTTAATTAATTAGTTACATGTGTATGCACTTAAAAAAGATTACATGTGTATGTTTGTCCAAAGAGAGGTTCTCCACTCGTACAATCTAACGCTTCCAAGTTTGAACTAGTATGAAAATAGTAAGCGAGCAACATTTCATCACCCTGAAAATGAAACCTAATTCTAAATTGAATGCTGATGTCGTTTTTATGCTTGGCTGACTAGAGCTACTAATCAAGACACGCATGAGTTGGTCATGTAAAACGTCTAAACTAAAATTTATTGTGTTCAAATTATGCGTTTTATTTTATGTTAAAATCCTTTTGACTATGCGTTAAAGTCTTATGGAAAAATAATAAACTATGGTGAAAACGACCAACACATATAGCTGAGACTAATGCAAAAATGTAAGCGACGTCGATGGAAATACGTGAGCATGTACTTTTATAGTTTTATCACTGTTATCGGTTTCGAGTCTTTCGACCCACGACCTATGCTTAGCATTATGTAATGGTATCAATTTAAAACTAGAAGGCCAACAAAAAAACGAAGAACCAACAAGAAAAAAGAAAACCCGAAGAAACACAACAAAAAAATTAAAAAACCACAAGCTAGTAAACGTGATCAGCGCCTTCTCCTTCATTTTTCATGTGCCACCTTGTGATCTACGAAGTGCCATGGCCAGCGCCCGAAGTTCCTTGGACTGCTCTATCGAGGCTCTAATATATCCCCTATCATGTGCACTCTTCTGCTATGCCATTGCGGTCTCCATCTCCCCGATCTTATTTTGCGCAGCTCGCAATTGATTCAACAACTTGTCATAAATACCGGGACAGAGGAGTCTGAAACAAAACCAGAGTAACCTACCCTTGTCGACATATACTCAGGGAAGAATCTGACCGCAGTCGGCGATTATCACGGGCTCGGAAGGATTCCCAAATTGATTTCCGACCATCTGTTCAACGGGAGAGATCACATCAAACCCACTCACAACTTGTCCAAACGCGTCGTAGTCTGGGCACTCCTTCATGTGGAGTACGAACTAAGAGTTGTTGGGGTTTCCAACAGAGTTGCCCATAGAGAGGACACCTGGACGGTCGTGCTTCCTGATGCAGTCCTCGTCAGGGAACTGATGGTCGTATATCTCAGCCATACCAAACACCATCTAGGATTATATCATGAATGATAGATCCATTGTAGTGAGTTGATCAAAAAAAAAAGATCCCTTGTAGTGGAGTGGTATACCAGACTCCCCTACACTGGCGGAGCCATCATAATTTATTGTAAGGGTCATTTGCTAAAATAATTATGTAATATAACCAAGGAAAGTATTAAAAGGGTCAGTTAGAGTGTTCCAACTTGTGCCATGGGTGTCAAATGAAAGAATTTTAACCAATTGCTCCAGAAAGAAACAATGTTTTTTTTTTGACAACCAGAAAGAAACAATGTATATAAGCTAAATTCATAGTTTTTATAAAAGTCATAGGGGTCAACTGACCCTCCTCAACGTTATGTGGCACCGCCACTGCTCCCCTACCCCCTTTCTCTCCGGTACAGAGAGCTAAGAGCATGTGCAATGGGGAATCCTTAGGGGAATCCTTAGGAAAAAAATAAAAAAGATATTTCAGATTATATAAGGATATTTCAGATTTTTTTTTTTAAAAAAAATTGACCATTCACGTGTCGCCACGTGTGCAGTGGAGCCCGTGAATAGTGCAAGGATCAATCCTTAAATAATGATTTTAAGGATAGAATCTTTAACTATTCATGGGACCCAGTAATTATAAAATTAATATTTTTCTAAGGACTCCCCCTAAAGATACCCCATTGCACATGGTCTAAGAAGTTCTGCACTGTCAAAGGGTTAGTGTCGGCGAAGAGCTCTATCACTATCAGACCAATCATTCTGAAGCTGATGGCATTGTCAAGGAAAACTAGGGTTAGAGCACCTCCAGTAGGGGGTTCTTAAGGTGAGGTTCTTAATGGAATATAAGAACCCCGTCTTAAGAACCCCCAATGGAGATTGGTCTTATCAGTCATCGGGAATTGATCACAATTTTAGGATTTTGCTACGTTACAATGCGAGGCATAAGAAACGAACCAATATTTTTTTATTTTCCCCTCATCGATTCATCACTTTTTATAGTTAATGCTATGTAATTTGAGTTTTTTTTTGGGCCAACAAAATAAATCACAATAAACTCGTAGCATAACGCAACGTCGTTTCTCAAAGGCATTCTACTCTAGCTTGCATGGAATCGGAAACATATATGTGGATAACGTTTCAAAACGTGGAAACGTGATTTTCAAAAAAAAATTAGAAAGAGAAAAATTTTAGAAACGCTTATAATATATATATATATATATATTAATTTACATATGAGCTTAATTTTTTCTGTTAATTTATCTAAGAGAGAAAATCAAGTAATGTAAATGTTATGTTTTTGTGTACATTTTATAAAAATTCTAATCAATATTTAGAAAACTAGTAGATGTTATCATTTGATAAAACTATAAAACTATGGAGCCGATTTCATTTCTAATCAAATTATTATACGAAAATGATAACAAATATCAAAAGTTAATATTAAAATATAAGTTAATAAATATATCATCACTAATATCAAATGACAAATAGTTATTCTTTCGCATTTTCAATTATAGTCGCGAGTTTCCAAATCAGAAACGGAAGTTTCCATCATGTTTCCAATATAAAATTTTCAAAAAACGCGTTTCCAAAGAGTTTTCTCACATTTCCAAAGAGTTTTCTCATCTTTCCAAGAGATTCCAATTTTGAAACGTTTCCAAAACATGAAACGGATCTTGACCAGAGTTTCCGTACAACCTAGATTCTATTACTCTTCGCCAAAAGAGTTATGAAGCAGCTGCCTATTGGAATTTTAACAATAGCTTAAATAGTTTGGTGGACCAAATTTGTTAAAAAATTTTTTACTTTGTTTCATCACTTTTTTGTAATTTGTTTGTTGACAATCTTTTATTTTTGTTATTGCATTCTAGCGTGCAACCCCTTCTATAAGAGTTTCTATAAGATCTGTTATGGGTTGTGTTTTGAAGATCAAATATAGAAGTGGACTGATCTTTATAGGCCGATCTTGATAACGCGCAATACCAATAAATCCAAATGTATTTTCAGTAAGGATATCAGGGTCGAAATCCAACATCTCGGGTATAAGACATGATCTCCAAATAGTAGCAACTTAATTCCTAATCGGTTTAAAATTTATGACCAACGGGTTTACGTATTTCGCCAACTTTTTTCCTGTTACCACAAGGTTATCTCTATAGTTGGTTATAATCCAAATGTTTGATATAATTTTGTGATTTAAGACGATTATTGTTTTCCTTTTTGGTTAAGGTGCTGTTAAATCTTATGTTACTTACTATTTGTCAGTTTTTGAAAATCAGTTTTTTTTTCTGTCAACTTAAAAATCAGTTATTTATAATTACATAAAATGTAAGAAGGCTTAGAGCATCCGCAGTGGCGGATCCTTGGGAGGAATCTTCAGGGAAAAAAAAGAAGTTATTTCGGATTATATAAAGATATTTCAGATTTTTTTTAAAGAAAAAACTGACCACTCAGGACCGCCACGTAGACAGTGGAGCCCGCGAATAGTGTAAGGATACGCCATTACAGATAAAATCCTTAACTGTTCATGAAACCCATTGATTATAAAATTAATATTTCCCTAAGAATTTTCTCCAAGGATACCCCATTGCGAATACTCTTATCATATGTTGTGTTTGTCATGGAACTTATCATAAAATCAATAATCATTGACTTTTTTTTGTCAAATCTATAATCATAGCTATGATTCATAAATGTCCATCATAAGTGTATATTGGGCCGCGCACTGAGAAAGGAGGGCTTGAGAGCCCTTTTTCTCCACTCTCTTACTCTCTACAATGGTCTTTTTGTCAACCTCTATTGTGTGGTCTTTTCCTTCAAGAATTTTGTTTAATTGTTTTTATAATTTTTGTATAATGGTCCTTTTGTCAACCTCTATTGTGGTCTTCTTCTTCAGGATTCTTTTTGCAATGCAACCATTCAAAACTATAATATTCATAGACATCATCGATATTGTTTTGAGGGAAACATAACAAAGTTATCGATTGTTGTGGGTTCTGCTCTTTGAAGCTCTCTATCCGTAGTGGCCAGACTCATTATTGCAATATCTAAATTGACGAGACCTAACTTGTCTTTCAAGCAATCAAATGTTTGTTTGTCACTAGAAAATAATAATGTTATTTTATACATGCAACTTGCCTATCTACTAGTCTTGCAGTTGTCTCAATTCAACGAACTCAAACACCTCTTTTAAATCTCATTAACGTCTCTTCTTTGTTTAATCCGAATAATTCCAAGAACATGCGAGTATATTTCAAAATCATAAAATACTACTAGTACATTGTGAGAATAATTCTTTTGCATATGCTTTGTAATTTAATACCAACTATATATTCCATATCTGGTTAATGACATACGCGGCTACATAATTAACATATCTTTCCGCTTTATGTCAGTCAAAAAAGCATAGCTATTTTCTCTTTATTCCGTTACACTCTTTAACGACTCATATTAATTAAATTTCTTTTTTCAGTCTTTGTTTATAGTTTATAGTTTTGTTTAAAGTATAGTTTATGCCGTTTGTTTGGCTTAGATCATGAAAGGTTTGACTTGGTCCATAAACATATTTACTAATCAATTTTAACTTGATCCATATAGCGAATGAATCTTTTTTTCTTCTTCACACGAATGAATTATATTTGAGACTGTATTTTAGCTCATATTTGAGATTAGACTAGTCTAAATCATCAGCATCATGCTGACAGCATGTAACAAAGCATTTTCTTAAGGTAGAGCTAACTTGCACAATATTGCTGTTAGGCTATAATAAAAAGTCGCGACTTATTTTCAACATTCTACCAAACAAAAACTATTCAGAAATAGAGTATATTGTAGAATACACCACCACCATAGACATAATATTCATAATCATAACCATGGTGTTAATCGTAAGATTGAGTATATGTAGTAGGTCCAATTAGGTCAAAACATTCTATGATAACATTTGTTTTCAGCATAGATAGATATTTACTTAATTTGAAGATGTACAAAAAACAACTAATCATGATTATGTTCCTTCAAAGCCGAGGTAAAGCTGAGAGACGGAACGAAATCTTTAGCTTTTGACTTTTCTGTACAAGAGTTAAGACGTGTCTCCTTTTCATTGGTGGTCTCTCTTGATTAAGATAATTATTCTTGTTTATGGTGTAAAAATCCACGAACGAAGACTAAAACGAAAACGACGTCGTTATATCACTTAGAATCACCTACCATTATCGTATGAAATTATAAAGAGAACGCGCTAGTCCACGCGCCGAAAGTAAAAAGAAAAAAAGGAAAAGAAAGACAAGAACTGAAAAAGAAAAAGAAAGATCAAAGTGGTTAAGACGGGCTTCAGTTGTTATTGCTTTTTGCTTCTTTTTCTTCTCTCTTCTTCAGTTTCGGCGTGCTGAAGAAAACGCTTGAGTGATAGATGGATAGATAGATAGATAGGGATCGTTTAAGGACAAACCGTACAACTCTCATGCCGGATTTCTACGGCGGAATCCTTCTTTCCTCGGACGGTGATTCGCCGTCGCAGATACTTTTTATTGGAGAATGACATTAGTTAGATCTCTGATGAAAGACGGAGGATAGTTTTTCGAGTTTTTTTCTATTTGATTTGTGTTTTCTTTTTTTTTGGGAATTTTAGATTTAAGCTTTGTCGGAGAATCAGAGATGAAGGCGTTACGGCGAAGCCACACTTCAACGTCTTCGTCGGCAAATTCATCTTCCACTTCGTTACCATCTACCACTTCTACTTCACCTCCTTCTTCTAATTCTTCGTCTTCTTCTTCTTCATCTTCATCGTCGTGGATCCATATCCGATCGGTTCTATTTGTGGCTAATCCTTCATCATCTCCATCTTCTGTTACTTCTTCCGATCGGTGAGTGTCTAAACTCTCTTAGATTTGGAATATGCCGATCGGAACTTAAGATTCTTTGCTTTGCTTTCACCAGAGCCAATGTTGTTAGCTTTTAGCTTATAACATCTTTTGATTTTGAGTTCCTATGTAGAAGCCGGCGGAAATCACCGTGGTCTCGCCGGAAAAGAAAACGGCCATTGACGCCGCATCAGTGGAGGAGTTTATTTACGCCGGAAGGAAAACTCCGTGATGGCGGAGTTGGGTTTCTTAAGAGAGTTAGAAGCAGAGTGAGTTTTGGATTTTTTTGTTCTGAACAAACAATCTTTCTTTCAGTCTTACTTGTCTCTTCTTTATGGTTCTGATATGCTTCTTGTTGTGTTCTTGTAGGGTGTTGATCCAAGTATTCGTGCACAAGTGTGGCTCTTCTTGCTCGGAGTGTGAGTTTCCTTTTTTTTTTTTTTGTTATTGTCTTCTTGCTTTTTTCACTTTGTTGAGATTCTCAACTTGTTTTGTATGTATGGCAGGTATGATTTGAATAGTACTAGTGAAGAAAGGGAAGCTGTTAAAACTCAAAGAAGGTTAGAGATGATCTTTCTATTATGATCTATGTAATCTTGTCAGTACTTTTATGTAGATGCTGACATGTATATTTATTTTTATATGAATGTAGGAATGAGTATGAGAAACTTCAGAGACGGTGCAAGATGCTTCTCAAGCGCGGCAATGGAAGTAGCGATAATCTTGAGGAAATGGACGCAGAAGATCAGTGTGTTAGATTCATGGATGATTACAAGACTACAAGACAAATAACAAACCAAGATGTGGTGGTCTCTGCTGCGAACACTGATTCTTCTGATACAGACTCTTGTGAAGACGATGAAGATGTTCAGCTGCTTCCTTCTTTTGTGTACAGTGATGAAACCAAACCTGAGGAGGAGACCAATAATAATTCTGAAGGGAGTAGTTCCCCTCCTATAGAGTTCCAAGTACAAGTTACTGTACACGAAGATTTCTCCACATGGCAACGTATCATCCGTCTTGACGCTTTACGTGCTGATTCAGACTGGGCTAATTACTCTCTATCTTCCACCACAATCACAGAAACCAAAGCTCGCGGTTTAGCTGACTCCGTCGCTTTAAAAGACTATGACCACTTAGAAACCTGCAGGCTTTACCACGCTGCACGTCTCGTTGCTATCCTCGAAGCCTACGCTCTCTACGATCCCGAGATAGGCTACTGCCAAGGAATGAGCGATCTCTTATCACCCATCCTCGCTGTCATCTCAGAGGACCACGAGGCCTTCTGGTGCTTCGTTGGTTTCATGAAGAAAGCAAGGCACAACTTCAGGCTAGACGAAGCAGGGATCCAGAGACAGCTTCGCATTATATCAAAGATCATCAAATCCAAAGACTCTCAGCTTTACAAACACTTGGAGAATCTCCAGGCAGAGGATTGTAGTTTCGTCTACAGGATGGTTCTTGTTATGTTTAGGAGGGAGTTGAGTTTTGAACAGACGCTTTGTCTTTGGGAAGTGATGTGGGCTGACCAAGCCGCCATTAGAGCTGGCGTTGGGAAGTCGCCGTGGAGTAGGATACGGCACCACGCGCCTCCTACGGATGATCTGTTGCTTTATGCGATCGCGGCGTTGGTGCTGCGTAGGAAGCTGATCATACAGAGGTATAGTAGTATGGATGAGATTGTGGAAGAGTGTAATAGCATGGCTGGTCAGCTTGATGTATGGAAGCTTCTTGATGATGCACATCATCTTGTGGTGACACTTCATGATAAGATTGAAACTCTTTCTTCTCAGTCTCTCAGTGTTTGATGAAAGCGTAAAGCCAGAAATGAAGTGTTACTACAAAAGAAAACCTTTTGCACTCGTCTGGCTCCGTTTTGATAAGGTTTTAAGGTTTGGTTCTTACCGTTTTACTTGTTCCTCAGCTTTTCTTTCTTTTTGTTTACCTCATCATCACACATACAACAACACTATACTATATATTATATCTATCAAGTTTATTATAGTACTAATGAAAAGAACAAGACATTACCCTGTTGAAGAAACATGTAAGGGATGAGTCTGAAATTACGGGTTTTTTTTCCACAATTGTATGGAATATGGATCATATAAGTTCAGTTATAGCAATTCAGTTTCTTATTTCTTAGTAGACCTGCGAGCTTGGCCTTAGTTTGGTTCGGATAATTCGGTTAGTTCAGTTTGGTAATTAATTCGTAAAATTTGTACGAAAAGTCTCGATTTTTGATTTGACTCTAGTTAATTTGGTTAACCATTCGAGTAATTTTGGTTAAATTCGGTTAGTTTGACACGAAACTTGGATATTGTTTTAGTTAAGTAAAAATCGGAATGATTTAGTAACAATTATGCAAACTCTTAACCGAACCTGAACCTAATTTCCACAGGCCTATACTAAGTTTAGAGTATCTGAATAATTGAAGCACTCTTTTATTTGATAATCAAAGTTAAACACATCTCGATAAACACAAAAAGATAAACAAAACATAAAGAGACTAGCAACACATTGATTATTGGTTCGTAGTAGTTTCAACAAGAATCATTCTGAAGGACAGAGATAAAGTCTAACCAAACAACAGTAACTGTATTTCTTTTTTGCAAATACAGATATAGAGAAATAAGAAAAGAGTGATATAGAGTGGCAAGCAAAAATGCAAAGCCTCTGCTTCTACTCTTTCTTGGTATATTGACGGACAACAAGAGCGAGACCCAAGATCAAGATTGGGACAAGGAACTGGAGAATCTTGATGATGAACTCTGGTGTCTTGTCTTGGTTGTACGTGGGTTGAGCAGGTGCAACGTATGTCCTTGTTGCTGGAACAGTAGAAGAATCGATCTCACCAATGTAGTACTTCTCCATCATGTCCCTTGCGGTGTCGCTGTGACCAACGTCTTCAAAGTCATTCGTAGCATCTTTCCCTGCAACACACAACAGAAACAGTCATCGAAGAGATTTCAATTGGATCAAAGAGAAATTCATCAAAAAGAATTGTTAAAAACCTGTTGAGGACAACAAGACTTCATCGCCTCCAGGATGATCATCCATGAATGGGGTCACATCAAACACCTGAACTCAATGTAAAAGAAGCAAACATCAATCACAGCGTTAAATCATGTTTCTCCAGTGTAAATCATAATCAAAGAAGCAATCCACCAGAATAGCAATTTGGTCAAAACAATGTAAACATCACTGAATCGACATCTGATTCGCTTATAACGAACCCTAAAACACTTGTAAGGTTGAGATTCTAAGTCCAGAGTGGCGTGTTAAAAGCAGTAAAACTGGATAATCAATCTAAACAAGAAGACACACTAGGGATCTAACATAACAAACCTTGCCGGAGATGATAAGCCAACAGTCTTTGGTCTTGTTGTGCTTTGAAACTTCTTCGAAACCTAGAACCTTCTTCTCTGAAGCCATCTCTCCTCCTTAATCTACAAACAAAGAACAAATCAGAGCGACTCAAATCGAGATTAGTAGATAAAACAACAACTATGATAGAATCAAGATCGAAGAAAAAGATGATGATGATGATCGTAATAGTTTACTTTTAGGTTCAGAGTTTCGATAGCTTCGAGGCTCCCCCTGTAATCAGCAAAAGACGTCAGAAACTGGTGTTCCTCACCTACTTAAATTGTGTTCTACTTCTGAGAAAAAATACCAAACTACCCTTGATGTTTTGCTGAAGCGTTTGGCATGTGATAGATATGACCAGGAACAGGGGTAGTATTGGTCAAGTTGGGGGTTTGACTTATTAAGCAAATCAATTTGGAATTTGTTTTTACTTCTTTGGCGAGATCTTCTTTTACGGTACAGGTATGGCGTGTGGTTTTAGTGTGCGCTGTTTCCAAAATTTTTACGGCAAAAAATTAAAGAAGTTTTCCGAATTTGAGGAAATGGGGAAAGAGATCTTATTTGCCTACATACTCGTGCAAGTTTTCTTTTTCACTGTTTCGGAAAAACTTGTTTGATACCTTTAAAACAAAACTCATTTTGACATTTATTCTGAAATTTGAGTTTCCTATTGGAGACTTTAACGTAAATCAAGTTTAACTGAAGTCTTGAATTTGTAGTCTTAAACATTATGATGATATATCTATATTATTAAAAGAGAAGTACCAATATAAAATACCCCTAAGTTTTTCTGATTATTTACAATGTTATGCCACTGAAGTTATTAATTACCCTATTTTATAGGATTTTTTGTGTTTTCACTTTAATTAATGCATTTCCAAAATCAAATTTTAACTAAAAAAATTATTTATATTATTAAAAGAGAAGTACCAATATAAATACCTCTAAGTTTTTCTGATTATTTACAGTGTTATGCCACTGAAGTTATTAATTACTCTATCTTATAGGATTTTTTTGTGTTTTCACTTTAATTGATGCATTTCCAAAATCAAATTTTAACTAAAAAAATTATGGCAACAATAATTAATAAAAATAGTCAATTTCATATATACCTTTGGTAATTAAATAAATAAATTATATAGAAATTGTTTTACTAATTTCATATACATAATAATTAATTCCAACATTAATTATGATATTTTTGATTAATTTTTTTTATAATACTAATTAATTTATAGTATTTAATAAATTTCTCATTATCCAATTAGCAATCAGAGGCAGCGCTGACACAAAACTAAAAAACACTTGCTTGCGTCCGCATTTTAAATAAGGACTTAACCAGCTACAAAATTTGTGTAAATTGTAATTTAGCCCATTGGTTTAAATGCGAAGTATGGTTCAGCATGTCATGGGTTCGAAAAAATATACATGCTTGATTATTTTTCGTCCATTTTTAGTGTTTGGCTTGTAGCCTTAAATAAACAAGGAGTGGCTCTGCTTGCAACAAAAAGAAGCTTACATGAAAAAACACTTTAGTTGTTCAAGTTTCTTTCCTAAAAATATTCATGAGTGTTGCAATTCAACAAAATAAAATAAATTGAGAAACTAATAAAAACATATCAAATATTCATAATCATAACATTCAAAATAAAAGTCACTAATCTTTGAGAGTGATTGGTCATTTCTAGGGTAAATTAGAGAAATACAAATATGTGAAAATGAGAGAAAAGTTAAAAGTGGGAAAGAGAAAATGGAGACTAAATATGTTTACTCTTATATAAGATAGAGTAAATATGTGTCTATGTTTTACTCAATACTTCATCTAAATAGCAATCAGAGGAAAAACATGAATAAATAGTTTCACTTCATTGGTATTTTTGTGGAGTAACCAAGAGTTAACATTTTCCACGTAAAAATTTTACTCCAGAAGTGAGATTCATTCAAATTTACTAGCTGGTTGAAATTGATTGAAGTAACTGGAGACATATCGGCTTCAATTGGTAACGATGAAAATGAACACAATGAACAGAAAAAAAAAATTGAACAAATTTTTGTTTGAAGAATTGAATTGAAAAAAAGGTTCAATATTTAGGAACAAAGGTTCCTCATCAATTTTAGAAGAGGAAAATACTTCGTTAACTAATCAATTTATGAGGAAAGTAGATGAATGTGGTAGGTTCTATGAGAATTAATTTGACAAGAAAATCAATTTAATTGGTATCAATTTTGAGGAACAATAAATTCATCATCATTTTTTTATAAAAACTGGTCACTAATTGAAGCCATCCTTTCTCTTTCTTCTCTTTTCAAATCATTTTTAAAGATTTTTACTCCACATAGTGCAGGAAATTAATATTTTAAAAATAAAAAGTAGATACTATTTTTTATTTTTTTTTATTTTTTTTTTGCAATTCGCACATGCAAATGTGAACAAATTATTCAGGACGTCTTTATTGTATACACATTTATGATTCCTTATATGACCTAAACATCTTTTTTTCTTTTTTGGTAAAAAGGACCTAAACATTTTCTTTGGCTATTAACGCCATATTTTTCTTTAAACTGAACTATTTACTCGGCAGGAACCTCATACATATCGGAGGTTTCACCCCAGCCAAAGCAAGAACCGACGACGGCAAAATCCAAAGACCATCTCCACATATCAAACCGGAAGCAACCGCCGGTACCATTAAACCGGCTTTAACTCTATCCCTCATGTTCCACACAAACACTATCAAACTCCCAACACACATATCTACAGCAAAGTACCCTCCTACAAGAAACGGAACCGCCATAGCCATCGGAAGTGGGACCCACTTGCCAACCCTCTCCGGCGACAAATCCCTTACGACATTCGCCGCCACCGCGAAAGCGAAGAACCCACAGCAAAGCTGTAGACAATGCTGAGGCAAAGCAGAGAAACCTTCAACTCCAAGAATCGCCATGTTTCTGTAAACCAAAGCGTACGGAGCCTTGTACTCTCCCTCAGGGTTCCCGACATCGAAGGCTTTGTAAAACAGAAAGAAACAGAGAGGAGCCACGACGCAACCTATCCCCGTCCCGATTGCTTGACTCACAAGCATCGACCGCGGAGAAGTCAACGTCAAGTGTCCTGTCTTGAAATCGTGCATTAGGTCGGAAGATATCGATACGATCGCTTTTATCAACCCGCATCCGACAAGTCCAGCAACTACACCGTTTTGTTTCCCGGACATAGCGGCTAAGATGAAGAGAGCGACTTTACCGTAGTTATAAGCCATGTTCATGTCTGTAAGTCCTGCTCCGTAGGCGTTACTGAAACCTAGCGATGGAGCTATCACGTAAGCTACGACAATGAGATACCATTTGAGCTCTGGGAACATCATAGGGATTGCGATGATGGAGACAATGGAGAAAGCTGTGTATCCAACTGCTGCAACCCATAGAGGAATGCTGTCTTTGACAAAGATCTCATCTCTTTTAAGATCTGTAATAGATTGTTTATCTTTCTCCGAATCTGTGACAATAATCAGTTATAATAACCTTAATCATATTGTAACAAAATTTAATAGTTTTGGGTGCATATATATTCTTACTAGATTTCCCGGAGTGGTGATTCTTTAACTTGGAGTATATGTTTCTTGCTGTGACCACAAGAATCTTTAGGAATTGGTAAAGCCCGTCTCCGAGGATCAATGAGATAGATACAAACACCTGTTGAGTTGCCAAAAAACTATGAACAAAATTGTTTGGTAGATAGAGTATATATATTGTTAGTGTTTTTTGTTGTTGTTGTTGTTGGGAACCTTGTAACCATTGAGACTCCTCATGCTGCTTTGAGGAATAGTAGATGGGTACCAATCTCCACTAAGACCTTTAATGAGAGGCCACATGATTCCCCAAGACAGAACCGCGCCGAAAAGCAAAGATAAGTTGACAATGTGAGAACAGATCATTCCTGCTCCAATGTATGTCACGCTAAAGTCGAAGTAGAATCTGTGAAGTGTTTTCAAGATCATCAAGATTATGTTTTGATCAGTTAAGAGATATGTTAGTGTACATTGAACAAGGGATAAAAACTCACGAGTTTTTCCAAGCTTGTAATCCAAAAGTTGGAAACTGAATGAATCCACAATCTGTACCACCATTGGTTCCAGTGAAGAACCATTGAAAGAAAGCCCAGATAAAGCTAAACGAGAAGTACTTCACAAACTCAAACACTTGCTTCCTGCATAGATACAGAGCAAACAAATAGACTTTATTCAGATCAGACCCTTGAGAAGCAGAGGCAAAAGCGAGAAAGAGAATAGGATTCATACTTGGCCATTTTATTGCCTTTAGAAGTGTGGAAACCGTTGATTAGAACCGCGGTAGCTGTTCCACTCGGATATGTCAGCTTGTAGTCTATGATCATGATCTAGTTAACAAAAACAAAAGTTCAATGGAAAGTTACAATAGAATACTGGTTAAAAATGAGATCATGTGAGAGGTCAGACTAAGACAGGTCCTGAAATTTATGGGGACTTGAAACGGATTGAAAGCTATATACTCAACAAATATATGTTTCTAATTAATTTTGGGGACCGAATGTTCTGCATATACTACTAATCCCTAAACTTTTGGAGACGTTTCATCTCGAGTATACCGGTTTTGGACCAGACCAGACCAAACCAAGCAAGGTTTACTAGTCCAAGTTCAGCCTATATTAACCCCGGACTGACCAGCAAACTTTTGGTTTACCACAACATCTATAGTTACAACTAAGTGGAACATGAAGCTTAAAGTGTCTAATACCTTTCTTAGAGGAACCAAAGCCAAAAGACCAACAAAGCAAGTAAAGAACAAGAAACCGGTCATCCAAACGACCCCGGGCTCTTTTGTGCTTCCCGGATTATTCCCTTCAGTGTGAACTCCTGACTGTTCATACGTCCTTGTGTTCAAACCAAGAAGGTACGAACCAAACCCACCTGCATATCACACAAACACTAGCTCAAGCAACCGATCCACACCAATGAAACTGATCAAACATCATAAAAAAAAAAAAAAGTCAAAAAGTTCACCAAAATTACCTTCTATTGCTACGCTGTAACAAGCAACAACACATGTTTGCACCACAGTGTTCTCTTGTTTAGTGAACGGTTTAGTCACAATCCCTGCCTTTGTGAGTAGCTTGGTCCAGCTTCTAAGGAACACGAATGCTAAAAGTGCTGCTGAGACGTTTAGGGTCGGGACCAAACCTGTGGTTAGGTTTAGCT